TGCATATGTTCCATATTCAAGTATTGAGAATGCCCAGTAACTTACTATAGCAGCTGAACTTTTTAAAACTGCCACAGAATTTGCTACAAATTTAGGTCCTTCAACATTTTACATGTGTGGAACAATGCTACGACATCTATACTTGGGTTGGCGTGATCAACCTCTTCAACGGTGGGCCCTGAGGAAGCGCCACCAGAGGGAGGAGCTCCCCCACCAGAGAATCCCCCAGGCGTCCCTCCTGGCATGCCTCCTGCACTCTGGTGCCAAACTAGACAAGTCACAGATTCATGATATTGTCCTGGTTGGTGGTTCTACTCACATCCCCGAGATTCAGAAGCTTCTCCAAGACTTCTTCAGTGGAAAAGAACTGAATAAGAGCATCAACCCTGATGAAGCTTTTGCTTATGGTGCAGCTCTCCAGGCTGCCATCCTGTCTGGAGGCAAGTCTGAAAATGTTCAAGTTTGGCTGCTCTTGGATGTCACTCCTCTTTCCCTTGGTATTGAAACTGCTGGTGATCAAGCGTAATACTACCATTCCTACCAAGCAGACACAGAGCTTCACTACCTGTTCTGGCAACTAGCGTGGTGTGCTTATTCAGGTTTATGAAGGTGAGCATGCCATGACCAAGGATAACAACCTGCTTAGCAAGTTTGAACTCACAGGCATACCTCCTGCGCCCCGCGGTGTTCCTCAGACTGAAGTCACTTTTGACACTGATGCCAGTGGCATCCTCAATATGTCTGCTGTGGACAAGAGTACAGAAAAAGAGAACAAGATACTATCACTAATGACAAGGGCCGTTTGAGCAAGGAAGACATTGAACGTATGGTCCAGGAAGCTGAGAAGTACAAAGCTGAAGATGAGAAGCAGAGGGACAAAGTGTCATCTAAGAATTCGCTGGAGTCCTATACATTCAACATGAAAGCAACTGTCGAAGACGAGAAATATCAAGGCGCGATTCACGATGAGGACACAACGAAGATTCTGGACAGGTGTAATGAAATTACCAACTGGCTCGATAAGAATCAGACTGCTGAGAAGGAAGAATTTGAACATCAACAGAAAGAGGAGAGAGTCTTCAACCCCTTCATCACCAAGTTGTGTACCAGAGTGCAGGAGGCATGCCAGGAGGGACGGCTTGGGGATTCTCTGGTAGGGGAGCTCCTCCCTCTGGTGGTGCTTCCTCAGGGCCCACCTACGGAGGCCAGGGTGCCACAGAACAGGTCAGCATTCAATTCTTCAAAATGGGCACAGGGAATGAAGGTATAGAAGTCGATTCCTTTATAGAGAGAATCAATCTCAATACTGGCCTGGGTGCTGGAAGAGAGAGTATGCTTAGCACGCTCACAAGCAGTACGGAGGCGTCTTGCAGCTCTCTTGTTCTCACTGATGACTTTCTTCTGCTTGCGCTTGAACTCAGCAATAAAATGGTTGACCATTTGGTTATCAAAATCGTCTCCACCCAAGTGGGTGCCTCTGGCTGTAGACTTGACCTCAAAGATTCCATCCTCAATAGTGAAGATTGACACATCAAAAGTGTGTCAATTGCCTCCCAGGTCAAAGATCAGCACATTTCTTTCTGCTCCAACCTTTTTGTCTAAGCCGTAAGCAACAGCAGTAGCAGTTGGTTCATTAATAATTCTAAGTATATTAAGACCAGCAATAGTTCCAGCATCTTTGGTAGCCTGATGCTAAGAGTCATTAAAGTAAGCTGGCACTATGATCACAGCATTGGTAGCAGTCTTCCTAAGGTAGGCTTCTGCAATTTCCTTCATTTTTGTCAGAACCACAGAGGATACCTCCTCTGGATAGAAGTCTCTCCCTTGTATTCTACTTGGACCTTGGGCCTGCCAGCATCATTTACCACCATGAAGGGCCAATGCTTCATATCAGACTGGACAATGGCATCATCAGATCTGCACCCAGTCAGATGTTTGGCATCAAAAATCGTGTTGGTGGGGTTCATTGCAACTTGATTCTTTGTGGCATCACCAATCAATTGTTTGGTGTCTGTAAAGGTGATGTAGCTTGGAGTGGTTCGGTTTCCTTGATCGTTGGCAATTATTTCTACTTTTCTGTGCTGGAAAACAGCCACACAAGAGTAGGTGGTGCCAAGATCAATATCAATGGCAGGACCCTTCCACATGGTTGCTGGCCCGTAAGCCTGGCCCCGACAATGAGGAAAGCCACGGGAATCCTGAGAGCTGCAGAAGAGTTCAACGAGACCCTATTTTATTTTTTTTGAGAAAAAAATCCCTCCTGAGTAGCTGGGATTACAGGCACGCACCACCACGCCTAGCTAATTTTGTTGTTGTTGTTTGTTTGTTTGTTTGTTTGAGATGGAGCCTTATTGCTGTCGCCCAGGCTGGAGTGCAATGCCATGAACTTGGCTCACTGCAACTTTCACCTCCCAGGTTCCAGTAATTCTCTTGCCTCAGGCTTCCAAGCAGCTGAGATTACAGGCACCCACGACCACGCCTGGCTGATTTTTGTATTTTTAGTAGAGATGAAGTTTCACCATGTTGGCCAGGCTGGTCTGGAACTCCTCCTGACTTTAGGTGATCCACCCGCCTCAGCCTCCCAAAGTGCTGGGATTACAGGTGTGAGCCACCACATCCGGCCTCATTTTTGTATTTTTAGTTGACCGGGTTTCACCATGTTGACCAGTCTCGAACTCCTGACCTCAAGTGATCTGCCTGCCTCGGTCTCCCAAAGTGCTGGGATTACAGGCACGAAACACCACACCTGGCCAGTGCCTGCATTTAAATCTTAGGTTTTCACACTTCTCAACCATTTGACTTGGCTTAGCTGCTTGGTGTCCCAGTCTCCTCCAGAGCAGGGATGGTGACACACGTATCTGTCAGGATTGCTGTGAGGATGGAAAAGTCGATGTAGAGCACCTGAAGTACCAGGGCCTGGCATATTCTCTATGGATGGGGAGCAGAAGAGTGAAGGGGTTGCTGGAGGTCCTAGTACCCTGCAAAGGGTTAGCACACAACTGGACAGGCAGAGCTCTCAATACACGTGCATGCTCTCACCGAACACTGCACTTCAAGACTGATTCCAGCCACGTGGACCTTCTCCCTGGCTTCTGCAAAGTCTCTCACTCTCTAGGCCTGGAGAACTTCGCACTGGCAGCCCCCTTCCTTCTTCCTACCCAGTTGATTCCTGTTTGCCCTTCCAGTCTCAGCTCCAGCAACATCTCTTCCTGATGCTTTCTTTTCTTTTCTTTTTTTTTTTTCGAGATGGAGTCTTGCTCTGTTGCTCAAGTTGGAGTGCAGTGACATGTCTCAGTTCACTGCAACCTCCGCCTCCCAGGTTCAAGTGATTCTCCCACCTCAGCCTCCTTAGTAGCTGGGATTACAAGCATGTGCCACCACACCTGGCTGTTTTGTATTTTTAGTAGAGACAGGGTTTCTCCACGTTGGCCAGACTGGTCTCAAACTCTTGACTTCAAGTGATCCACCTGCCTTGGCCCCTCAAAGTGATGGGATTACAGGTGTGAGCCACCACGCCCGGCCTGGCACAATATCAATTCACGTATTCTTCATAACAACTTTAGAAAGGTAAAGTACTCTTAGCACCATTTTACAGGTGAAGAAACAGTTCAGAAGAGGTTAAGTAATTTACCCAAGTTAATGGGCTAATGAGGGGCAAAACAGAATGAAACCTGGGTAGAATGAGCCCAGAGCCCATGCCTGTCCACATTCCTCCCTTGCTTCTTGAGCTAGGGGCCATGTCTGTGCTCAGGACATTGCCTCCCTTGGCCACTCAGTCCATGCTTTAGTGATCATTTATTATATGCCAGGCACTGTGGCCTGCTTTCATAAATATTACCTGATAGAATTCTCACAGCCAGCCCAGGGAGTTAATATCAACCAGCCCATTTTGCAGATGAAAACTCCAGGGTGGGACACACTGCCAGTAAATGGTAGAACCAGCTTTGGGTCATGCTGGCTGGGCCTGCTGGGCCTGCCTCAGACCTTCTCAGTTCTTTCCCATTGCCTTAGGAAGGATTTTTTTTTTTCTGTATTAGGCTCCCCGGCTTCCCTCACCCTTCCTCCAAGAAAAAGAAAGACGGAGAGAGAACTGGAGAGAGAGACCAGGAAGGGGACCGGGACTGGAGGGCGAGACAGGATGGAGAGACTCACAAAGATCCCCTGCACCTGCTTTCTATCAGCGCACGAGCAGTGGTTCCAGGAGCCCAGCAGATGGCAGGATGTAGCCAAAGATTCCCCGCAGTCCGGAGAGCTGGGCCCGCAGGACTGCAAGGCAGGGGGACCTGCCTGTCCCTCAGGGAGCCTACTGGGAACCCGCGCTCGCCCCACAAGCCTCGGGGCGAATCTGCCGCACCCTGTACATAGGCACCCGCAACCGTGGCACGCATCTCCCGCCGCGGGAGCCCAGAGACCCAGATGCGAGCCTCGTCCCTACATCGGACGCCAATGCTGCCCAATTTTGGGGGAATCCCAAGACTCATGCCCAGCCATTCCCGGGGAGAATGATTTGGGGCAAACGACGGCCCTCTTGGGCCTCAGTTTCCCCATGTACAATGAAGGAGTCAGATTAGTTCCAGAGGGTCTAGATATTTTCATTCATGAAACACTGTTCCCACCTTAAGAGGAACCGCGTCGGCTTGAGAGCCAGAAGACACTCCACTGCCCGTCCCAACACGAATGCGCAAACACAGCCCAGCGGAGAGCCCTGGGACCCTCGTCGTAGCCAGGGCCGACTAACCACAGACCTAAGAGCCCCTTTCCCTCTGGATCTCAGTCTACCGCGCTCTACAATAGGAACGACGGTTTCTTACTGCTGGGTTGCTGGAAGTGGATGTAGGATGGTGCTAACAAAGCGCATAGCCGGGGCCTGGCCCGGGTGGGTGCTGACCAACCGTCACTGCCTGGAGGAACCCAGCTCCCGCCAAGGGAGGAGGCCAAGCAGGGATTCAGACTCCTCGGGCCGATCCGGGTCTCAGTCCCCTCCGCCGCCCCCAGCGCGCGGCCTCCGCGCGTCCCCTCCTCCCCCGCTCCCGCCCCGCCTCCCGCGCCGCCTCGCGTCTCCCGCCCGCCTGCTGTAGCCGGCGAGCAGCGCGGCACGTTGGCCCCGGCGCGGGGAGCTCCCGGGTTCGCTGGCGGGCGCCGGCGTGAGGACCTGCGAGCGCAGCCCGGGGCGGGGCGGGGCAGAGGGCTGGGCGGGCGCGGGGTCCCTGCGAGCGCAGTCTGAGGGGCGCCCGGGAGGAGGGAGCCGCCGTCCCGCCCCTGCGCGGCGCTCGGCCCCCTCGGGCTACGCGCGCGGCTACAACCTGGGCAGGGCGCGCTCCCCGCATCCAGCATCCCGCGTCCCCGCGGCCGGGCATGTAGCAGCGGCAGCAGCGGCGGAATATGGGCGGGAACCACTCCCACAAGCCCCCCGTGTTTGACGAGAACGAGGAAGGTAAGAGGGCGTGGGGCGCCACTTCCCGCCACGCGCCGCGCCGCTCGGGCCGGGGCTGGGCCTCCCCTCCCTCCGTCACCCTCGGCCGAGGCCGGCGGGGCGCCGCGTGCTGCCCGGCGCGGGGACCCAGGCGCGGCCACTTCGCCCAGCTCCGGCAGAGTATGCCCGACCCCGTGCCAGGCGCGGCGCTTCTGCCCAGGCAACTCCTCGGCACCCAGTGCCCTGTAGGGGTCGGGACGGTGCCAGCGCGGGGCTGGGGAGGCGTCTTCAGAGAGGCGAACCTGAAACCTGCACTTGGTGTTGTGGAAGGAAGGAGTTGACTTCCGAGGCCGGTAGATAGGTTTCTAGGCTTGGGCTCCCCAGGAAGCTGAGGCTTCTTTGAGAGCCCGAGGCTGACGGAGGTGGCCTGGGTGGGCGGATTGCACCGTGTGTGTGTGTGTGTGTGTGTGTGTCCGCGTGCTCGCGCGCGTGTGCGTGTGTGTGCGCACGAAGCATTTGGCCTCGTGTAAGGGCTTGTTGGACGCAGCTGTCCTCCATCACCCAGGACAGCCCAGGGAAACTTTTCTTTGCTAAACTCTGTGGCTCCGAGGAGGGCGTCCTGCTTTCTCTCCGCAGCCTCCCGGGTGCACAAGTGGCGGAGGCTGTTCAACCGCATCTGAACTTCTTGGCTGGGTCCTTGCAGTTCAGGTCGATAGAGCTCAGTATTTGGACCAGCCGAACCCTCTTTCCAGTGTGGCATGTCTCTGAAAAACTTACTTCACCTCTCTGAAACATGAGTCTCCTTACCTATGGAATGAGAGTTATGTTACCGCTTGCTACTTTATTAGTAATGCCCGTGAAAAGTGCCTTATAAATGCAAGCAGTACCGAGCTGTGCGTTTGTTATCTGTGAAGAGCCCTCAGCCTCTCAAAGCTGGTTTCCTGCTGTGCTGACTGGACAGTCTCCACTGTGCCCCAGATAAGAGCTGAGACTTAGCACTTACTATGTTCCAGGCATGCTAGCACATAGTGTTCACTTAGTCCTTTTCATGCCCCTTGAGGTGGCTGCCTTAGAAAGAGGGCTGTCCTCTTTTTCAACATGGTGAAACCCCGTCTCTGCTAAATATACACAAAATTAGCCAGGCGTGTTGGCAGGCGCCTGTAATCCCAGCTGCTCAGGAGGCTGAGACAGGAGGATCGCTTAAACCCGGGAGGCGGAGGCTGTGGTAAGCCGAGATCGCGCCACTGCACTCCAGCCTGGGCAACAGAGCAAGACTGAGTCTCAAAAAAAGTAAATAAACAAAATAAAAAGAAAGGGGCTGTCCTGGTCACAGTTCGTAAGAAGTAGAGCTGGCCTTGAGGCAGGACAGTCTGCTTTGAAATCTGTGTCTGTCATCATTGCCCAGGGCATTGGTTCGTGTGCATAGATCACTGATGGCTTCTAGAACTCCCAAGGCTGTGAGTGCTACTCAGATGCCCACCTGGACAGCCCTTCCCAAAAAGATAGATGAATGCAGTCAAGGTTAAGTGAGCACCTGCTTTGGAAGGCCCATGTGATCCTTGCTTAAAGGAGTTCCTAGTCTAATAGCCCTGAATGACCATCCATGGTGATAAGGGCATAGAGAAACCAGGGCAGGGTCTTGGGGACACAGAGAGGCCCCAGCTTTTCCTGGTCTTTAGTCTGGAGTATGTGCAGGTAAGGAGCCAGCTGTGGACAGAGGAGAGGTAGGCACGGAGGTAATGGAGGCTCTTGCGTGTCCCAGGAAGAGTTTGAACACCACTCAGCATCACCCACAATAGCAGAGGTTTGTGGTTCTAGCCTGCGTCAAAGGTCACGCTTTGGGTAATTTTCCTAGCATCTTTCTCTTTTATTTACATTGGAAATTTGCCACCCTTATATTAAGAACTGTCTCGGTCCCTTATCCCCAGCTTGAAAATATTCATTGGCAAACTATTTATCTCTGGTGTAGCCAACCTTTTGATTTTCTTGTTCCAGTTCCTCATTCTACAAGCAGATTGGGCCTAAGGTTAAGTGCCTGTTAAATACAAGGTTAGGAGGCAGGGCGTGGTGGCTCATGCCTGTAATCCCAGCACTTTTGAGGCAGGCAGATCACTTGAGGTCAGGAGTTCGAGGCCAGCCTCACCAACTTGGTGAAACCCTGTCTCTACTAAAAATACAAAAATTGGCCTGGCATGGTGGTGGGCACCTGTAAGTGCAGTTACTAGGGAGGCTGGGGCAGGAAAATCACTTAAACCTGTAAGATGGATGTTGCAGTGAGACGAGATTGCACCATTGCACTCCAGCCTGGGCACCAAGAGTGAAACTCGTCTCAAAAAAAATAAATAAATAAATAAAATAAAAAATAAATAAATAAAAGAAATACCAGGTTAGAGCTCTTCTCATTTTGCTAGCTTCTAGTCCAGTGAAACATTAACTTGTTTAATTTTTGCCAGTATATTTCTCACACATTTCCTTGTACAGGTAAAGCAGTGTTACTTGCCACCAACCGACTCATTTATTTCATAGGCATTTAGGGATCATAGTTTCTGCATTTAGGGATCATAGTTTTCATACTCCTGTGCTGGGCACCAGGAGTATGAGGAGGATGAAGGCTGACAATTAAGGAGCTCCCTCCCAGAGCAAGTAAACCACCAGGACAACTCAGGGTGTGCAAGTGCCCTGACGTGGGTGAGCTCAGGCAACTCTGATAGCCTGGAGGAGGGTCCCTAACTTAGAGCGGGGAGGAGGCATCTGAAAAGGTCTCCTCTTTTAGACTGGAATCTTGCAGAAACAGCAGGAGTTAACCCCCGGGGAAGAAGTGGCTGATGGGGTGGGGGCGGGGAAGGATGTTTCAGAGAAAGGGAAGAGTATGTGCAAAGGCAGATAGTGAAGAGTAAACCTGGCTCATGTCGGGGTGGGGCATTGAGGGGGTTTAGTACTCCTGCATTGTGGAGTGTGAAGCTGGAAGGCACAAAAGATGAACCCTGAATACCTGGCCAGCCTCAAAGGGCCAGTGGCCATGGTCAGGTGTTTTTGACCTGATTTTGGAGTCACTGAAGGGTTTTAAGCAGGAAGTGACATGGTCCAGTGAACAAACAAGCTCTCCCAAACCATAGTCATTGTGTGGTTGAAGGCTGAAGATGCAAACACCTGCCAGACCGGAACAAGTCTGATTTTTAAGTACTTTGATGCTAAACCACAGCTACAAACTTGCCATTGTGTAATTGTGACAGGAGAGTCATCCACATTCTTACGGCAAAAGTTTAACTCATTGTGTGCAGGTGGTCATAGCTGTTCATGCTCCCATGATACATCATAAGCAGAGAAAGGATCATGCCACAGATTAATTGGCAGTGTTTCTTTTTTCTAAGTGGTGCATAAAATCATGGTGGCTTTACTGTGGATGGCATCTAAGATTTGGTATGTTAGCTGAACCTCCTCTAGTTGCAAATGATGGAAAAGCAACATTAAGTGCTTTCTTTTTCTTTCTTTTTTTTTTTTGAAAAAAAAAAAAAAAGGGTCTCACTCTGTCGCCCAGGCTGGAGGGCAGTAGCAGGATCTTAGCTCACTGCCGCCTTGACTTCCCAGGCTCAAGGGATCCTTCTGTCTCAGCCTCCCAAGTAGCTGGGACAATAGGCTTGTACCATCATGCCTGGCTAATTTGTATTTTTTTTTTTTTTTTTTTTTGGTAGAGTCAAGGTCTGACTCTGTGCCCGGACTGACAAAGTGCTTTTAAGGGAATGTTTTGGCTCTGGCCATTTCTTGTCTTCTCCATCACTACCATTCTTGTCTAAGCCATGGTCACAGCTCTTGCTTGGATTATTATAATCACTTCCCTAGGTCCTTAACTGGGCTGTCCTTATTCCCATAAGTGTCCCTCAATGCAGCGGTCAGAGTGATCCTGTTAAAATATGCAACTGGCCAGATCAGTCCTCTGCTCTGCTCAGCCTACCCTCAAACCCTCCCTCCAGCCCTAGGCACAACTTGCACTGTTGAGAGAATAAAAACTGAAGGCCTTATAGCTGCCCATCAGGTGCTCCCCTCTGAGATGGCACCTTCCTCTTTCACTCTTGGCTCACCTGCCTCCTTCCTGCTCCTCTGACATGCCCTGCATCCTCACACCATGGTCCTGGCACCTGCCCCTCTTGCCTAAGGGCATTTGCCCTACAGCCCACTCTCACTTCCTTCCGTCTCCAGGAAAGTGTTATTGACTCATTAGACCCTGATTGACCACCGTACTTAAAATGTCAGTCCAAATCCTTTTTCTTGCTTTATTTTTTTTTCATGGCAGTTGTCACCATCTGTTATACTAGTTATTTTATTTATTTTCTTGCTTATTGTCTGTCTTTCTCCACTCAGTGCAAGTACCTTAAGTCAGGATCCCCAACCCCTGGGTCATGGACTGGTGTTGGTCCTTGGTCTGTGGGAACTGGGCTGTCAGCAGGAGGTGAGTGGCAAGCAGGGAGCATTAATGCCTGAGTTCTACCTCCTGCCAGATAGATCAGCAGCAGCATTAGATTCTCACAGGATCTAGGTTGTGCACATGCACAGTTCACAGTAGGGAGCTGCGAGAGAATCTAACGCCTGATGATCTGAGGCGGAACAGTTTCACCCCAAAACCATCATCCTCCTGTCCATGGAAAGACTGTCTTCCATGAATCCGGTGCCTGGTGCCAAAAAGGTTGGGGACCACTGCCCTACATACAGAGATCTTATGTTATTGTTTCTTCCGAAGGAGTTACAAGCTCCTTAAGGTAGGAATTTTGCATAGTTTGTTCACTTCTGTATCCCTAAAGCCTACAACAACACCGGGAACATCTGGTAAATTTTTGGTGAATAAATGAATGAGTGAATGAATGAAGGTGTCGGTCTCATCAGCCATGGCTGGAACCAGGCTCCCCGTAATATCAAGAATCTTCATTCCTGGATTCTGTACTTCATTCTCAGGCGGGCTGTCTCTTCACGGGGCTCCCACCGCCTCCATGTTGGTATATTCAGAACTCTCGAGTATGTTAAAAAGT